TCTGCACAATCTGAGCGTCAATTAGGGAGAATTTACAGCATATCAATAGGAAGTCGCCGTTCTGCTAAATGCTCTTATCCAAACAGGACTGCAAAAAAACGTTGTTTTTACACTTTACGCTGTTTCTTTAGGAACACGTCAATATTCGTGTTTACATACCGTTAGATGACTCAAAATCGTCGGCGCTTATTAACAAAATTCAATTTGAATTGAAACTCGAAAAAATGAACATTTTTAATAACAACGCAAATCTATGTATGGTGAATAACCGACTTGTTCGAAGTACTCGAAGATTCGGATATTTACTATCGAGTACTATATGAGACGCCAAATTGTCCATTTTTGTGTACAATCTGAGCGTCAATTAGGAAGAATTTACTATATATTTCGAATAATTATAGTTAGTACTATCCCGTTAGAGTTAATTATATAATATATGAAGAGATAATAATTATTTGATTGTGTCGAACAATTATAAAAATCTTGTAAAAGTAACGCGACATACAAATAAAGTTAATTATGGACATTTTTTGGTAATTGCTTTCATTGTGGCGTAATCGTTTTGGCAATGTCCTATCTTCAAATAAAATCAAGAAATTCGGAAGTTATTGAATTTAGAATTTAGATAAACATCCATTAATGAAAAACATTGTACGTTGACAACATATTAAGAAATTCTCAATATCCGAGGGTAACATCTCTACGTACGTAATTACTAGATTGCGGATCTCTATGCAAAATAAGATTTTTATGTAAAATCCGTAGTTTAATAATTTTTATATATAGTATATATTAAATATAATAATATAAATTGTTTTACTTTAAAGTTAACGGAAATTGCTTTTGAAAAAGAGATGCCTCATTTGCGATACCACCTTTTTGACTGATTATAATTTTCTTAGAACATGACAATAGAGTGTTATTTATTGTCGCGTATTGTTCACTTTGTATCAATATTTGAAAACTAGTTTCCTTTCCGTCGTTGTGGAGGAAAATGTCCTATGTTTTCGCTATGTCACAAGAACGTAGTAAATCAATTATATGCGTATATTGAAAAGACTGATCAAGATAAGGTCATACATTAGATCTATGAATATTTCTTGACGCTTTTTCTCCGATTATCTGACTGCCAAGAATCTCTTGTATAATTCACTTTGCATTTTCATTCTAAGCACTGCGGTCGAGAAATCCGGTGTTCGAATTTCGCCGTTGGTTTAACGCGATCGTAATTTGTCAACGTTGTTCGCGGCAATTAGACGGCGAAAATTTCGTCGAGTTCGCATCGGTAACGTCATTCGCGCGAAAAACGCACACAGACATCCGATTTCGTTGAAAATGATTTATGCTAATTGTGTCTCGCGCTACGGTCACGGTTGACCCTTACAGACCGGTGTTACGAATGCCGGTCGTCAGAGCGGCTGACACCACGTGTTAAAAATGCTAATCGCACACGTAACAGTCGCGTTCTTTGGACTATTTTCAGCAGCTACTTCGTTTAATTTCCTGACTTCTATCAATATTTGATGTTTACTTACGATGTTTAAGCAACGGAGTGTTGTGGAACGTTTATCTAGCTGTAGCGAAACGAAAGGTCAGGGTGGTAGTCTATTTGATGCAATGCTGCATCGGCGCTTCATTTTTGCTATTTAGATCACAATAATATTATCGCGTCTTTGATTCTTTAGCACTTCCCGTGCTTATCCTAAAGGACGTAAAAAATATATTGCTATAATTAGAATATGTCGATTTCGCCAACTCAACAAATCTGGGGTTAAAAGGAACGTTCTGTCTGAGCTTTCGTTTCTTTGAACTAAAGGTCAAGCAAAACACAATTTGATAGTTATTGCTATTAAACTTTAATAAGATATAAATAAATGTATAAAATAAATAAATAAATATATATATATATATATATATATATATATATATTATTTTTATGTTTTAAGGTAAATCGCAGCAACAAATTTTTCTAATAACTTGCATTTTGATAGATTACGTTACCATAATTTCATTTTTACTGTGATAGTTACATAATAATTTTACCACAACATAAACTGAATGCATGCGCTCCTTGAGAAACTGTCTTTAATAATTACTTTATCCCAAAGATCTTCATGTACAACATATNTGACTTCTATCAATATTTGATGTTTACTTACGATGTTTAAGCAACGGAGTGTTGTGGAACGTTTATCTAGCTGTAGCGAAACGAAAGGTCAGGGTGGTAGTCTATTTGATGCAATGCTGCATCGGCGCTTCATTTTTGCTATTTAGATCACAATAATATTATCGCGTCTTTGATTCTTTAGCACTTCCCGTGCTTATCCTAAAGGACGTAAAAAATATATTGCTATAATTAGAATATGTCGATTTCGCCAACTCAACAAATCTGGGGTTAAAAGGAACGTTCTGTCTGAGCTTTCGTTTCTTTGAACTAAAGGTCAAGCAAAACACAATTTGATAGTTATTGCTATTAAACTTTAATAAGATATAAATAAATGTATAAAATAAATAAATAAATATATATATATATATATATATATATATATATATATATATATATTATTTTTATGTTTTAAGGTAAATCGCAGCAACAAATTTTTCTAATAACTTGCATTTTGATAGATTACGTTACCATAATTTCATTTTTACTGTGATAGTTACATAATAATTTTACCACAACATAAACTGAATGCATGCGCTCCTTGAGAAACTGTCTTTAATAATTACTTTATCCCAAAGATCTTCATGTACAACATATAAGTGCGATTTCCGTGTTTTGTGTATTTATTATTATATTATTAGTTATTTATACATAATCAATAATAAATAATAATATTATATTAATTATATTTCATATTAATCTATATTAATCAGAATCAATTGATTGATAATTTTAAAAGGAAAAGCGCCACCAAGCATCGTTTATTCGTTTATTGTCACGCGTGACGCAACCGCGCGCTCCATTTTATTGCGTACTAATGAACCGTCCGGTAATGTTCGTAAGGAGCCACGTAAACAGCTTATTCGCCGAATTTTTGTCGATCGCTCGTCTCACGAGTAAACAAGAGACGCGACAGATCAGCGCATGTTCAAGAAATAATTGTTTAAAGAAACACATGGAAAAACTGCGCGACAGTGTTTGAACGAAGGCCGCGTCGCGATCTGTCACAAGAACTCTTTACCAGGTCCGATCTAATTAATCCTCGTTAAGTCGTTGTCAATTGTTTACGTAAAGGAACGACTGAGCGGGATGCCAGACGCAAACTTTCGGTCACGAAATGTACACGTGTGTGCCTTTGTCAGAACCGCGACACGAACGTGGAACTGTCTGCTGCCATTCAAGATGTAGAACAAAAAAAACGATGCCTGTCTTCAATTACGCCACATCAGTCTATTCAAGGATATTCAGGAATTTAGGCGTATGGCGATAGTACCGCGCGAAACAACCATATGCGGCACATCTGATCAAAGACACATTTAAATATCTTGACCTTGCAGGAATAAATAGAAGGTATTTTAAAATTTAGTGTTTGTACTTACGCGCGCGCAAAGGCTTCGAGAAGGGTGTCTTGAAGCTCCTTCTAAATCTGGAGGAAGTTTCAGAGCTGCGCCTATAGTAAACTTGTCCAGCAAGTACAGTAATTTCTTCCTGATTCGCGCTCGGATTGCGCACAAAAATGGACAATTTGGGAAGAAAACGATTATTCGAGCCTTGTGTCTCGCTTTCATAGTTGTTGACAATCGGTAATTAGGTAATAATTATATATTAATATAATTATATTAATGAAATATAGTAATATATTATAAAATATAATAAATATAATTATATATTAATAGTTATGTCAAGGTTATGTCAAGGTTCGAATCATCGTAACTCCTCTTCCCAAATTGTTCATTTTGTGCGCAATCTGAACGCGAATTCGGGAGAAATTACTGTAGTGCCGATGGGAGATGTGCGACGACAATAGAGATGAGACTTTCTTGGGTCTAGATCTGAATATTCTTATACTAATTATTCGCGTGAAGTTGACGATGACATTGCTAACAGGAATTTGATTTCCATCACGTTGGTCTCGATCACCTAATAGCTAAATTTTAGGTGTAACTCGCAGTAGTATGAATAAACAGCTTAGGACAGGGGCGACAGGTTGGACCGACTTGCACCATTCAAGCGAACTAATATCTTGAATCGAAAGATTTCTTCTATCAGAATATCTACAAAAATATTTTTCCTTGTACATTTAAATAAAATGAAACTCGACTAATTAAAGTTACTTAATATTCGTTAAGAACACATGAAACAAAGGAGCTTTCAATGCGTTTCTCTTGGATTACAGTACTTTTAAATGACCAAAATTTCAAAAGATCTCTTTTGGAAGACCAAACAGACCAATAGGAAGATTCTCTCTTAATTTACAATTTCGCATGCAAATTTACCTGTTCCAGAGCATTATTTAAGTATTACGAGCATTATTAAACATCGCCGGGAAACTGCACGGACGACACAAAACTGAGAAATATGTTTAACCGTAAGCTGTATACCGTTTTTCTAAAAACACAAAAAAGATACATAAAAATCGGTTTATTGTTACCGCGAAGAGAATCCGCGAAGGTCAGAAAAATCGGCAGAAGATTACTCTCAAGGTTCCGGAGGCGAGCGTTGCAGGCGAGCTTTTAGCGACCCGTTGAAAACATTTTGATTTCGTTAGCTGTCCTTCGCCGCCGAACGCAATTGCTCCTAGTAATCATAAACTTATTAATCACCGTCGATTTCACTTAATTCCCGATAACAGAGCACGCGTTCGATCGTGATCGATAGAGCGTGCTCGAGACGAAACCGCAAGGTCCGTTCTCAAGTGGACGGAGTAAAAGTCTCAAGGCCGATCCCTTGGAAATCCCGGCACGCCGGAGGCAAGGATTCTCCGATCGTTCGTCGAAATCGAAAGACAACAGACTTCCGGGGGGGGGGGGGTCAGTGCGCTCGGAAAACAAATCGGTTTTTATCCTAAAATGGCTTTATTATTAACTCCTTAACTTTACACGTGTTTAATATGTAGTACTTGTCGAGAGATATCTGTATACGTGTGTTATTAATTCAATGTTCGTTCCGTTGGTCGTCGACGCCGGCGACGAGACGCTCGACGACGTCGACGAGCCGGACGCTTGGTTTTGCGACGAGGTCCCGCGATATCCGGTACCATCGAGCTGCGCTACAGCGGACAAAAATAATTTGAAAATCCCAGTCAGTATGTGGTTCTTATTGTATACAAGAAATTCCTATACACGACACCGTATTAGTGAATCCTCCCCGTTCGTTTCCCTCAGGAGCGAGTCGATCTCTCGATTTTCAGATCGTTTTCCCCCAATCCTCCCTTTCCCTTTTTCACACACACACTCTCTCTCTCTCTCTCGTAGTTCGTTTTTCCCCTCGCGTTCTCCTTTGTACAAAATACTTTCGAATCGCTCCGAAGATAAGAAAGACGACTTTCCCCGTCCCCGGCAACCTTTGTCAAAGAAATTCCCTTCCCTTTCCGTCGCTCCTCGTGTCTCTCCCGCTGTCACCACGCTCGCGCGTCCCTATCCTTATTAATTATCGTACACGTTATATCATACACAATCGTCGTTTCCTTGCATTTTCTTTCTTTTCGACGTTCCGTCACAGTTAACACAATTGCAGCGCTTGAGAGCAACGCGAAGTTTAACGAGCGATGATATGGATTAAAAGCATGATATGAGGTGTCCTTGCTTATCGCAGCCGCGCGTTTACCGGCGCTGGGATCGGGAATCGGCCCTAATTCGTTTTCCGCCACGTAAATCGGAGATCGGTCGCCTGCGATTCGAGCTTCTCGTGTAAAAAAAGGTGCGCTCAGTGGTGGCCCGAGGGCGGTCGATCTCTCTTCGTTCCGTGGCCAGTACACCTTTTACAATTTCCTTGCAGAAGAGACACGCTAAAAATGGCATACAAAAATAGAAAATATTCCGAGGTTCCGCTACTCGCTGAATCTGCGGGGTGAACGTGTGTACGGCGAGCGTCGCGATCGTTGAGCAACGATCCGAGGAGACGTAAGTACACAAGGAGCTTTCCGATTGTAAAATAAATACTGCGAGATAAGTACTTTAATCTGTCTTTCGAAAGAATTGAACGAAGACAACAATTTGTAATAACTCGTAATAAAAAGTACGCGGAGTATAGGATGAAGTGAAGTGCACTATGAGCTTGTTACTTGTAAAATCAACTGACTATTCAGATTATACTTTCGCCGTAACTTAAAGAGAAATGATCGTTTGTAACGTACTGCGAATGTTCTCATACAATTTTCAACAATTATAATGTTACATATATTGTATATAATATATTAAAACTCGATGGACGAAAAATAAGTTTTTATTTCGTACTAAATCCCAAATTGCTTTTAGAATATTTAATAATTACACGGTTGAAATTTGCAATCTATTGTCAACTTAGATTTTATTGTCTACAAAGTCTCCGATGGTTGAATCAACAATGTTTTAGGAGACATCGACGATTTTCCAAAGAAAAGGTTTTCATTTCTCTTGAAAATGTGCGAGGACAAGATATTGTCGAAACATGATTACAGCATCTCCACGGCTGAGCCTTGTATCACACGCTCCACCCTGCATTTCTCTCAGATCAACGTAACGCTTTCATTTCATATGATCAAAGTTCTCTTCCGTCTGGCTCCCTCTGCGATAAACAAGTCGCGATGAAAAAGGATTCCAGTAGTCGCGTAAATATACTTCTACATTACAAAGACGTGAATTAATAGTAATATATATTATATTGTAATTTAGCTTGCATACGAAACATCCGTTTATCATTCTACATACACAATTAATCATCATCATTATCAGCAGCATCATCATATCATCATTCACACGAGTTTATATAGGAGTGACCCCAAATTTGCGGATTCGTCAACTACCTGTTCTTCGCGAAGCGGATGCAAACGGAGCCTTCAAATTCGAGGTGCAAGATATTTCCATTTGCTCTTATTTCTCTGCACCACTAAAATCCCCCTCCCCACAGGTTTCTTTCGTCTCGCCATTTCTCGTATTTCCCTTCCTTTCAAAAAAATATCAGGAAATTATCGAGGTGTTGAAGAAACGGCGCGCATAACCCGTATCGAGCCCAGAAAACACGCTTCCACGTTCGAATTACATAAGAAGGACCTTGCGAACAGAGCGGTTCGGAGAGATTATACAAAATCATTTTATAAAACCATGTATATGTATGCGCCCCGCGCAGAAAGGATTATAGCTCATACATCATGTACACCTTATCAATTAAACGGGTCTCGTTAAACCTTTATCCGCCTCCTCGCCCCTCTGTTTTTTTTTATATTCCTCGCTTTCTCCATTTTCTTCCATCTTTCTCCTCCCCCTCTTTTGTTGCTTTTTCCATTTTTAAATAAGTATCTTTTGGCTTGGTAACTATATGACGATTAAATTAATTAAATAACTCTCTTCTGCGAACAGGTTCGAACACTGTGTTCGAAGTCTTTAAGATTCGTTCGAAGGCTCTTACAAAAACTGTAGCCGAATAGAAAATCTTTGTTGGCAATAGCCAGGAGTTGTTGAAAAGAGAAGCGTAGCGTCGTAAACGAAACGTAAGATATTGTGCGTAAAACAAAAAATCCAAAAAGAAACGAAAATGAACAGAAAGCTTTCCTGCCTCCCCGTTTTTCACTCTGTACAAGTGTGCAGTAAAAAGAAACAGAACAATGATGACAACAAATTAAATGCTGTGACATGGGTCCGGCAGCGTATAAACAACATTGACCTAAGTGACTGCAGACTGTCTATCGAACGACGATTAGGTAATATACATATTTATATATATATTTGTTATCGTTAGTTTTCATTTTTCATTCTGCATGGCCTACAGTGCCAATGGAAGCATTTTTCTTGCTGTCACTCTGCAATGGCATCGCGCGAACAGATAATATAGTCGATTAAGTTTTCTTCTTTTTTTTTCTCGTTTTCTTTCTTCCTCTTTTTTTTTTGTTTTCTTAAAATCCTCAGTTCTCTCTAACACATTTATCGTTTCTTCTTTTTAAAATGAAAAACCGATCGTCGGATGCTTCAGTTTCGATCGAACTCGTTTTCTCGGCTTCAATTCTGTCGTCTAGGCGGTAAAAAAGAAAAGAGAATGGCGCGCAATTGGCGAAAAACTGCGTCACCCGACAACCAATCGATTTTCTTTCTTTCTTTTTTTCTTCTTCTTCTTCTTCTTTTTCTTCTTCTTTAATCATCTGGCAGTGTTACACGTTGTAGGTACGTTGTACGATGAGAAGATTCGTTAAATTGATAGTCTTTGATACTTGGAGACCGTATAACAGTTAAGTAACCGCGTGAATGTCGTCGGACCATCACGATAGTCTTCCGCATCACAGCAAGATACCCTTATTGCTTACAAAAATGGCACTGATTACTGAAATATTTAACGAGTATCGTTGCTGCCCCCTCCCCTCCCCTTTGCCCCCTCTCCTCTCCCGAAAGTAGTGAACAACCTCGCCGTATCGATGTGTTCTATCCAGTAAAACCTAAAATCTAAATTCGCTTAATCCCGGAGTCGGAGCAGTGAATCCTTCGTCTCGTCTACGGTTTGAATTCGTTACGAAAGGCAACGCGTGATTTGTATCCCATACTCCCTAGAAAAATTTCCCGTGAAATATCGACGGTTCGGTAAAGTACATCAGTTTCGAAAAAGAACGGAAATAGTATATATGTATATATATATATTAAAAAAAAAAAAAAGAAGAAAAACATGTATCGGGGACCCAGTCGAGAGTCTCCGTTTAAATACAATTACCGCGTACGAACAGCGACGATCGAGCATGTCTCTGTATGTATATGTGTATGCATGTGTGTATACATTATACGATAAATGTAAGTAAAAAGTGCACGCGCGATTCTTTTTCTCGCCAGCGAATGTCTCTATATTACCGGATTCGTGTGCCGGACGAACGAAAAAGCTTTACAAATTGCTGTATACGTTCAGAGATCCACAACCGTCGACGTCACCGGCAGTCTGAGGTTTCTTCTGATAATTGTTTTGGTTTTGCGTGTGTATTGGGGAGTCTCCGAGCATCGCTAGCATATACTTGCGCGTGGGGGAGTGGACCGTATTTTGTTAGGGGGGTACGTATGGGGGCGGTTTTCTGTACGTGGGGGTCGGTTTCGGCCGATTCTGACGATTAGTATCGCGGTTCGTGGCGAATGGCGGCGGCGGTTGATAAGGCTCCTCCGAATTCTCTTTTGGTAACATAGGCACGTCCGCTCCGTCCTCAGTTTTCTGGTACTCTGGTGGCGGCAGAGGTGGCTTCTCTTCTTTAAGAATCACCGGCGATTTGTTACCTACAAGCCATATAGAATCGGAATTAATAGCAATCGAGTTGAACATTGTATTAAAAATTAACCCATTTGTAGCAGCAGTGGAAGCTTTTATTCTTTCAAATGAAATGCAACTATAACTGGCGATGATAGCACTTCTAATGAAGATAATGATAATATGAAAAGAATGTTTTTCTATATTTTAGTTGTATTTTGCAATATTCTATTAGTAGTTTAGTTTACGATTCAGGATTATCATACGATTTCCTTCTTAATCATTTTACTTAGTGATCAGAAAAACTGACTAGGTAGAACAGCAAAATCCAGGAGCGTGAAAAAAGTAGTTCGATTGTTAGAACTTTTGGTAAATATAACTAAAACCTTGGTATAAATATATATCTAGATAAAAATCGTTTACATTAGTACTACGAAACTTAGGTGAAAGAATATTATATGCATGAAGAACAACACTTTAGATACAAATGGGTTAACAAAAAGTAATCAAAGTCAACATACTGTATTTACCTGGATCAGGTTTCTCGTCCAGCTCGTCCTGAAAGATCACAGGAATCCCTTTGCTTCGGAAGCTCTGTCTTTCGTCGTCTTGCTCGCTGACGCTCATTTTTCCACTCCTCCTTCGCCTGTACAGCACACAGGCAATAATACCCGCGAGGATGAGCATTGCAGCGATGATTATAGCAGGCAGAACAAACGTGATGAGGTAGTCATCGTGGAATGTTCCAACCGAAGTGGAGTCATCCACAGGTGGAACATTGTTACCCGGCGAGTGAAAATCGGTCAGTTCACCGAGACAGATCCCCATAGGGATTACTGTTATCTGCTTCACGGGGAACTTCGAGCCCATAGCATCTAAGACTTCATCGGTCACGGATCGTCGATCGTTGTCGCTCTTGACAAGCACCGATCGCAATCTGCTCACCTCGTCGTCGGCACAGTACGTGGTGGGCAAAGTCCTGTTGTGCCACGTGATTACCGTACTGCCATTAGATATACTGTGCAAGGATATGGAACTGGTGTCCTTGTCTTGGTACAGATCACGCAGCTTCTCAATGAAGTTACGTTTCTGAAGGGCGGAGTGCGCGAACGAATCGTAAGGGATATCCAAAGTCATCGAAAATTCTACTGTATGATGCATCATTGGCGCTGGATAGACGACTACCACAAGACCATCAGTGGTGCTAGCGTCTTCCTTGTCAGTGACGACTAGTTGATATTCTTTACGTCCCACATCACTGCGCATGGGAACACCGTAAAACTCTTGATTCTTGCTATCGAATTGTAACCATTCGTGGGCTGGTATAGGCGTGCGCTCAATGGTCAAGAGAGACATTCGCAAATTTCGGGCAGAACCGTCTTCAAGATCGTAGAAGGTATCCTGAAAGAATTATCATGATAATTTATCAAGGTTTTTCAAATAAAGCTATGCATATGTTATGTAATAAATATTTATATTTGTAACTGCAGTGTTAAAAAGACGTGGCAAACTTACTTCTGGCACCTTGAATACCAGCAGTTGACCAACAGTAGCATTGACGAGGTCCACTTGGTTTCTAGACATGGGCGGGAAGTTGGATTTAGGCTCCTGGGTGGAAACTTTCGGCGGTTCTGGTCTGTTCATGTCCTCGCACTGGCCGATTCCTTGATGCACCACTCGTTTCACTCTGATTTCCGGGGCAAGCACTTCTTTCAGCGCACTGCTGGGTTCGCCGCTTCGGTCGACGAGCATCTAAGTAGATAACATATGATCGGTATAAGCTCACCAGTATTTTTATTATAATACTTGCAACAGAATACTTACACGTAACAGATCAGTGATGTATTCTTTTGGACAGTCGGGGCTTCTCGGCAGGCTGTCGTTGGTCCAGGTGAAGATAGCTTGCTCGTTAAGGATGTCGACCGATCGAACAGTGATATGTTTCGTGTCGCTGTCGCCGTACAATTCAGCTATGCTTCGAATCACCTGAAACGCAATCGATATTACATCACTAATAATAGTGATCGTCGCAAACAACATGTAAACAACGCTGCGTACCTTCAACTCCCAATCCACGTCTGTGGGGAATTCAGAACGTTTATCGATCCTAAGGTAAATACTAAATTCGTGATTGACGCTACGACTGAGTTTGTGTTGTTGCACGTGGATGTCGAGTCGATCAGTCACGTTTAGTCCCTCCCTATCTGCAGCTATCAAGTCGTAGGTCCAGGTGGAGATGTCGTTCTCCAGTGGTCTAAAAACAGTGCAGTTTAAGAAACCTGAAAGCTCTCTGGAAAGGATTCTTCAAAGAAGAAGAGTGCTTACAATCCATAGACCTCCTGGGTGTTTGGATTGAACTGCAACCAGTGTGAGCTCTTCAATGGCGCGCCTTGGAGATACAAGCTTAATCTTAGGTTTCTGGTATCGCCATCTTCTAAGTCGCTAAACGTGTTGGGCGGTATGATGTAGCTCAGGGGTTTGCCGGCGGTCACCGGTATTTTCTTCAACCTCTTATCCTGTCTGGGTGGGAAGTTGTGGAGACCGTACTCTATGGTTTCCGTGATAACTCTGGGTAGTTCAGTGGTGGTAGCTCTGGTCGTTGTTGGTGCGGTTGTCGTGGTAGTGGTTGTGATAGCAATACTGCTAGTAGTAGGCTGAACCGTGGTAGTAGTTGTGGTGGAAGTTGTGGTGGTCGGTATTCGCATTTCTGTTGTTGATGTTGTAGGTGTTGTGCTAGTGTTCGTGACCAATATTGGTAACGTGGTACTGGCTGGAGTTGTAGTGGTCGTGGCGTGGCTTACGGGTACTGTAATGGGTGATACGAATACGGTCTGTCTCGTTGTTGATTCTGACGGCTGTTCCGTTGGCTGGAGGCAGAAAGAAGATATTTTAGAACTAGGAAAACATGGTTAGTGTCTCGGTGGACCACCGATATAGGGGAACGAACTATGATCGATACGGCAGGAAGAAATACTAGATGATCGCAAGGATGCACCAAGAATCGTGAGTCTTGTCGCTTCTCCTTCTTATGTTGCAATATTTGGTTCCTCTCATCAAATTATACATGTTTCTCTACTTCAGAAAGTAACTCGTATGTTACGCTATTTATGTGCAAACTCCAGATGTTTTTTGTAATTATAAACAGCAGCTGAAGTAACGATGACAAAAATCTATTCGCCATGAATATGATTATAGTAAATTCTCCCTAATTGACGCTCAGCTTGTAAACAAAAATAGACAATTTGGAAAGAGAGCCTTTTTAGGAGAGAGATTATTCGAGCCTTGCACCTCGTTTTTATAATTGTTGAAAATCGGCAACTATAAACATAAGCCGCAAGGCTCGATTAATCGCATCTCCTCATCCAAAATTGTCCATTTTTCTTCCCAAGCTGAGCGCCAATTAGGAAGAATTTATTGCAGTCCTTACAACATAACATAAAATCCACAGGCTACTTATGCAAGAAACTGTTATTTGTTCGCTTCAATGTTTCTCATACATCCGCCGTTGGCGAGATAAACACTGCGAGAATGTTTAATAAATCGAGGACGCACCGATGAATAACAAATGAAGCACACGCGTACAAAAGAAGCAGAAGCTCGGCACATGATTCTTTGCTACGTTTACGTGGGTGGTTTCGGGATTCGTTTGGCAACCGACTGGCGAAGCGAGAGACTCGTCGTAATCGCGGCTATAATGACAGCAGCATGGACTATAATACAAATGAGAAGCTCGAAGCATTGAAGCATTACCTCCTCCGTGGTGACATTAACAGTACCACCGTTGACGTCTGTGTCCGTTCTCTCTATGGTGGTCGCAACGGTTCCACTGGTGCTAGAATGTGGGATTACCGAGGGTAGGGTCGTGATTTCTGGAATAATGACGGACGAGATGTTCACGGATTCGTTCTCCGATCGCTTGGCGTTCTCCGTCGTTGTCTCGCCGGTGGTTGTGTCCGGTCTCGGAGATTCGGTGGCCGTCGGAACGGTGGTCGGTACCAAGATGCTAGTAGCTGTTGTTGTATCGGCTGTTGTTGTAGTCGTAGTTGTGCTAGTTGTAGTACTAGTGGTCGTCGACGGGGCTTGTTGAGTGGTTGTAGTTGGAGTTGTTGTTGAGGTAGTCGTCGTGGGGGTTGATGTTGTTGTTGTGGTGATACTTGTTGTCGGAGTTGTTGATGATGGTGGTGATGTAAGTTCAGTGGTTGTTGTCTGCGAAATCGTTAGTAGATGCGTTGTACGGCACGAAAAACTTGGTTAGTTACAATAATGATAGGTAAGAGAGCAAAGTAGAAGAGACGATAAACGGTAGTAGTGGTGGTAGTAGTGGTGGTAAGTGGTAGTAGGAGTATAGAGAAATAGTATATATCTCGGTCTCTCGGACTTTCGTCTCTTTCCATAGGGTATGCGGGACCGACTCTCTTCTATACATCGATCGATAATGTGCCGTCTAAAACGGCGCGGAAATCGCAACAACAGGCCGACATTAAAACACGCAGTACCCACAGCTAGGACACTAAGTATCCGAAGCGCAACGATCCCCTCAAAGCGATTGGCAATGGCGAGAATGGAAGGACAGAAATAAGAACTTTCAATGAAAGCCGGTTATCGCTAGACGATCTTGTGTACATGGTTTCCTGTCTTCTCGGACACGATGGTGCCGCTGCGACGACACAACGATGGATTCTTGCTGCGGCACTTACCGTGCTGGTCTCCGCGGCGCTTCTGTTCAACGCGTTCTCCAATGTGTTCGCCTGATTCACCGATGTTATCACGTCGTCGATTTCTTCGGTCTAAAACAACAAATGTACCACGTCATTCTACAGTATTAATCACTATTCAGATGCTACTCTCTGTAATCCAAAGAATCAAATTCCTTGCATTGCATCTTTTTGAAGTAATACGTTTTTTTTTAATAACATGCACACCAAAAGGATTGATTCCAATTAGAAATGTCTACTATATGTTACGCATACTCCCGCACAACTTCCGTATAACTTTAAACAGGATATTTTGCAAACGTTATTTTCTAATATTTTTCGTCTTATCAAGATGTACTTGCAGTAATTTTCGATAGACTTGCCACTGTAGTCCATATCAACATTTTTAGTAATCCTCTGAGAAATTTTGTACAAGCAAAATTGATAAAAAGAGCTGAATAGAATCAAATTCGAACTTTAAAGTTCTGTCATGTTGTTAAATAACGTGATATTTTATTCATATCGGTACGTGCGAAAATGCCATTTCATTTTTTCTTTTAGCGTAGCAAAATGGATAGAATCCATGCTAAGGCCAGGAGGATATTATCTTTATAAAATGTCGTTCAAAAAAGATGCAGCACTAAGAATTTTGAACAATTTGGCTTGATGAAAATATATCTTATACATCAAGTACTTCTAAAAGTACATATGTACTTATGTCATATGTATAATATGTGTGTATTTGGATTCCAACAATTTTTTAACTGGTTTCCCAAAAATAGGATCTCCGTAGTCTTTACCATTGACAAAATGCTAAATATCTTTGCTCGATTGATTCAACAATAAAAACTGCAGGGAAGCTTGACATATTTCGGTGTTTTAAAAAACGTAGTTAGAAATTGAAGCTTAAACGTTGGATTCCGCTAAATAAATAATTTAGCGATATCTGCTAAAATCAAACGCGAACATTTGCAATGATCCAACGTTAATCGACTCGCCACGTTTTCGAAATTCATTTCAAAAGTTCATTTAAGAGTTACAACATCCGTGTCGCGGACTAGCCGGAGTCTCCTCCAAAATCCAGCTCGTACAATTTTCAACGTTTGTTCTTCGGAAAGGTGCTTACATTCCAGTCGATAGCCTCCTCCCCGTGGTGGTGTCTGTGAGGATGTTCCGGAGCGAGGTTCCCTCTTGGGCCACTCGTATCCGGCACGAAAGTCGGCTGCACTTGTGAGTCATCACCGTCCTCGCCGTCGTCCTCGTCGTATTCCTCGTCGTATTCCTCGTCGTAGTTAGCATCGTCATAGCCGTCCGTACCGTAGTCTCCGGAGCCGGCTTCCCTCCGGTTCCTCAATAAGGAACTCGATTCTGTTTTCACGCGCCACACCAGCACCGGAAGCTGCATCACCTCCGCCAATGTGCCGTCCCTCGCTTGCTCGCGCAATCGTTTCACCAAATCCGTCTGATGCCTCCATAAGTGGCCGTCGCAGCCGACCTGATGAGAAATCCAATCGTTACTTTCCATGGAATTGTTATACAACCGAATTTAAAATTCCCTGTATGCCAAACGGATACAAGGTCGCTTTCTTTCTTTCTTTCTTTTCGATCACGAAATACATAATTGGAATGGCCTGGAGCAATCAAATGAAGTGCAATGATCTTCAAGGATACATTTTCTGGGAAATATAAATTCTCAGATTTGAAAATTCATACGCTAATCCATTACATTTTTCTAGTTTTATTATGAGAATATAAAATGTTTTATGTGTGAGAATGTTGAGACAGTAATTGATCTCAAACTACTTGACTTTTTAATTTTAATTTGCTTAAATAAAATACTTCAATTTTATGAAACTCTTCAGGTTGCTGACGTGGCAGTCAAATCGTTCGAGGGGATCATTTCTCTTTGAAAGAGAATTATTTCTCTAACAAATGTTGCGCCAAAATGATTTATAATTATATTTTCTTCTATATTTTATATTTTTGTATATAATTATATTTTCAACGGAGAAAAACTAACTACGATCGGAAATTTTCTTTAATATGTGAGTGCGAGGAACTAATTCTCTCAAAACTAAAAAAAATTCATTTATATAATGTATATAATATTTTAAAGAATTACCAGAAGTAGGGCACTCACCTGCCATTGTATCGCGGTCAGGTGTTTCTCTTTACGATGCTTCACGTTCCCAGACCCACTGAATATCACCGTGGAGTCCACGTTCGAGTTCTCCTTGAAATTTTGCGGGTGCATCGAAAACGCGCTCTGAAATAATCAGCGCAAATGGATTAGCTTTGTAATTACCGATCGGGCCGCGTTCTACAACTCATAAGGGTACGCGGGAATGCAAAGCCCGTCAGCCAATTTCGATTAGGTCGATTACTTTAATAACGCGGAAAATGAACTTTTCGATCGAGGCGCTCGGAGAGTCGAACAAATTTTCGATCGATTCGTCGGTAGAAATGAAATTCACTTAACCAGCCGAATTATTCGGACGAAATGGGACCATGGATGCGATTTTCAAAAGCTTTGACTGAAATACACGATTGACTCTTGCACTCGACTGTACTAAATCGCCATGAATGGTAAAGATCAAAATGGTGAACCGAAAGACGCCATACGTAAAAGAACGTCGATCTCTGAATCTGAATCACAGTGAAGTAAACGTGATACTGCTTATTAATTTTGCAATATGCGGAAAATTAAATAAATGCCTTTCGAAAGTACAAAAAAAAAATAATCAGAAGACTAAAAAATGTAAAATATTTTAGACAGAAATGAAGGAACGCTTTTTCGTCTGAAGAACCAAGATGGCGACGGCCAACGGGCCTCGAGGGCATATTCAATTTTCTTCTCAAACATAAAATCCATATTTAACCAAGATAGAATGTATTTTAATTCAACAAAATGCAGATTATAAAAGAGAAGTAGATAGGTAAATATACATATATATTATTATTATTTATATATATTAGTTATGCACATATTTATATATATATATATATGTATGTATGTATGTATATAATATAAATATAAATAAAAATATATATAATATATAAATGTAAATATGTGCATAAGTAATATATATAAATAATATATGTATATAAATATAAATATGTATATGAGTAACATATATAAATATAAATTATAATTTAAATTATAATTATTAATATATATATAAATATAAAAAAATAGTAAAAGTGTTATACAGAATAGGGGAAAAATTATAATGAAGTGAAAAATATACTGTTAATTCGATTGATTTTGTTACACAGCGTCGCCCCTTTTTCGATCGTGTCTACGATTATGAGAATATCCCGTTTACTATACGTAGAATCGGTTAGGAACAATATCTTCCTCGTCGATCGCGGCAAGATTTTCCTCGCTAATTAACGATGCGCCGCGGTGGGCTTTAATTAAGGGGAGGGGGGACACGAAGGAATTGTTGAAGCATCCTAATTTCGTGCGCGCACAAAGTGACGCTGCCTCCGCGAGAAAGAATATTTGATAAAGTTGTTCCCCGGGCGAATGCGAGTTTCTTTATGAGACGGAACTTTTACGATGCTGCGAGATGCAGCGGGGGATGGCGCGGAAGATGCATCGCGGGCTCGACATAATGCGGGAAATTTTCAACTTGAAACGTACACTGGCCGGGCCGACTCCGGGCCGGGCCGGGCCGCGCGCGCGAAACTTCTTTTCGTTTCAGCGGGCATAAATTGGACGCCTTTGAGACCGGCATTTTTCACTCCGCTGGGGGAATTCTTAATTAATTTAATCGCGACGCCGGGCAAGAAGGAAACGCGCTGCTCCCGACATCCCATGCTGTGTCTCATTGACATGCGCGGCTCTCTGCTTCCGCGCGAACCTTTATACGCCTTTACGCCGTAAACAAAGGGCGGAAAAGCTTTTTCTATTATTACGTTATTCCTCGTGGATCCTGATGGACTATTTCCTCGTCCGTGGCGAGATGAAATTCTCGATTTTTATTGTTCCTTTCGCGGAGGAAGAGATTGCGGGGATCAAGAGTAATGAAAGGTTCCGGTACGGAAGAGGATCAGCCTGGAGGATTAATGATCTCTAAATGGATGAACGTAGAATCCTTCTTTTCTCCAGGATTTTTTGTAGGTCAAGTATCCGGGAGATCTATTAAATTTTGATGCAGAAAGAGGCGAATGCGGTTGGGAAAAGAGCTCGAATGGTTCTTCGACCAGAGTCGTAGGCAGTCCCGTACTATTATTTATAAAGCGCTCGAGTCCTGCGAGACCTTTCGGACGTAGACTTTCAATCTGCGCAACTTCCGTCGAAGTTTCGAGTCCTCTGAATTCGTTAAAAGTACCGTAACTCTTGCCGCGACGCTTTTCCCAGGCTTTCCCCGAGAGTTTGAAATTCGGAAAATATTTCTGCCGTCGCAAAGTCTCCGAGGATTAAACACCCAGAGGGCCGTAAAGCTTTGCACATGTGCAGACATACATCCTATTTTATTTTTCCTTTCCTTTCTGTTTTCTTTCGGTTGCACTTTATTGCATTTGTCTCTGTCCGAAGTTTAGTTTATTTATATATCACAGGCAGCCACCATATTACACAACAATTACATTCCGACATTTGTGTAACATAAAGCAAGCGAGAATTAACAAATATTCTTTCGTTTCACATTTTTTGTAGACGGAAGTATAATGAATTTTAATTATCTCCTTTTACTTATCTCTTTTTACTGCTAAGTACTATCGGACATTGTTTTTGTCACGAAAATATTTATAAATTCGAAATAATTCTAAATTCTTGTTGGTTAATGTAATTTAATGTTAAATAAATTCGATCTTGTGATCTTCATACGGTAATACATACAAGTCAGGTTAACAGCTCGGTATACAGGGTGTCCCATAATTATGTTAACATTTGTAAAGGGGCGGTTTCTGAGCTCATTTGAAGCAACTTTTTCCTTAGCGAAAATGCAATCCGCGGCTTCGTTTGCGAGTTATTAATGAAAAACAGTGACCAATCAGAGAGCGAGTGCGGTCGACGGTCCGCCCTTGCTGCGCGTCGCGCCGGCCGTCTGACGCAGCGGCAGTGGTCGCGAAGGCGGAGCGTTAGCCGTACGCGATCTCTCATTGGTCACTGTTTTTCGCTAATAACTCGTAAACGAAGCCGCGGGTTGCATTTTCGCTAAGGAAAAAGTTACTTCAAATGTAACCTTTCGGATGTTAACATAATTATGGGACACGCTGTATTTAGTGTTAGAGCTTCTTCTATCGAAGTTTGTTATATTCTGTATACTAGATACATAGAAAATGCAATATTTGCACTTCAACTACGCGTCAATGTAGATTTTATAATATCAGGAGTCACGATTAAAAAAACAATACTGTACCAGGTGAAGTCCAAGGAATCCAGAGAGATTATCGATGGCGTTGACTCGCGTGGACGGCGAGAGGTTGTCGAACCTGGCATCGAGCAGAATCGAGAGGAGCGTTTGGTCCTCTCCCTCGTTGCAGTGTGTCTGAAATCAGAGACATCGCGTACCCGTTTCAGCTGGTTGTTTCCATTCGAGCGAATCGTGTCAGTGTGCGGGAGACCCACGGAATTAAGGCCGTCACCAGCGGCCAGTGTGCTTGCGGATGACGCAGATGCCACGGGCTCTATCAATTGGTATCAATCAGCGAACGTCTACGAAACTAATTCCTCCGCGAGATTTAAATGCGGCATACCGATGCAATCGCAGCCGCGCGCGGCCACGCTTTGTTAACGCTCTCTGTCCCACGATACGCGTGCACGCGAGGCGAATAAACAACCGCGGCTCTTCTCGCATTCCTCCCTTCTTCCCCGTCTTCGTCTCCATATTTTCCCCCATTTTCCTCCATTCTTCCCCGTTCGCGCGCGTCTCTCTTTTCGCCTGCTCTCGTACGCCTTCTCCTCTTTTTCATACCGTCGAAACAGGAAAGTGTCCACGACTTTAACGCGTCCGCTGCCAGTATCAATTTTCTGCTTATCTTCGTTCTTAAAATATCAGGGTCTTCGAATTTTTTAATTACGAACTTGCAGATTTTTACGAAAGCGGATTCGAGAAACGGTTCTGGAAGAAAAGGGAAATTATTTTTTTATTTAACCCTTTGCACTCGAATGGCGACTTTGAGGCGCCACTAAAAATTGCTACATTATTTTTCAAAATAATTGTAATAGTATCAGACTCGTTTATATCCAAAAGACTCTTAAAATTACAAGTTTTGTACTTGCCAATAGGGTTTCATATGCATAAATCGCAACAGATCGTATAAAATAGAAACACTGTAGATCAGAAAATATGTTTAAAATATAATTAAAATAGCTTCGAGTGCAAAGGGTTAATATTTAATAATTTGTCGGTAATAATAAAGCTTTCTGTTGAGACCAACAATTGCGGACTTCTTTCCGGTTTCTCTAGTATTTTAATAAACGTACACTGAGAATAATTGACGAAATCACTGATGAATTTTACTCAGTCTTATGCACTTAAACACTTTATGGATTTCGACAGTAATTGAATTTAAATATTTTACGAACAATAACAGAAAGTTATAAGTTCAACTATGTATCATTTTCGAATTCATATTATAACATATTGCTAGACTGCGGAAATGCAAAATAAAAACTGTCATCATCTCTCATATCGAGCAGAAATTAGATAAAAATGTGTTTCTTCTTTTAATGATGTTAGTACAGTGAAAGTAATGCTGCAGTATTTTGAAATTATTCTTTTGTCAAGCTTCTGTGTATCGTTTACCCAGTTTTGTTATAAATACATAAAATCCGCGGTTTACTTGTTATGCATGGTGCTTAATTAATCAAAAACTGGTTTAAAATTATTATAACTTTTTTTTGTTTGTTACTCATTCTAGTTCGTGTATTTTACATAACAAGGCATATAGTGCAGAGATTGTAAAAGTTTAATTACTGAAAACATGATCCCGCAGATGGCTCCTATTTTTACCATGATCTTTCCACGGATTGAAATTATTCTTTTGTCAAGCTTCTGTGTTTCGTTTATCCATTTTTGCTACAACTGCATAAAATCCGTAGTCTACGTATTATATCTTGATATCCAATTGACGGCAACGATATGTCAAATAAATAAGAAAACCTTAGGAACCACCCTCACGTATCAGAACAATAGTTTTTTGTCACTTTGGTATAATAATTTCCAAAGCTTAGGCAAATGTTCCTTCCTCGCCGTGCATCGAGAACTGTTTTTCACCATTTCAATATGAATACTGTTCAATCAAAACGGACTGTACACTATTTCAGCGAACTACGTTTTAGCAAAGTTTGTGCATTTAGTTGGTAGAACTCGATTAGAATTTCATCGAACGCCAGCAATCCATTGCAATCAGCTGTCAATTCAGTCAGTTCCATCGGCTGACGCTAGAACGCGATTCAATTATTGAGTCGACTGTCGGAAACATTCGTAAAGGATTGTTCCGATAAAGAGATTATTTCTCCCGTCGAGCGAAACGAGCGAACCATCGGGACCAATTAATTAATTGGTCATCCGAAAATCGCCTCGGACCCAATTAAAACGATTAACGGCCGCGTGAAAGTCAAACGAGACGAGTTTGTTTCCCGGCGGCGATGCGAACGGGGCCGATTAACAGGCTAATTGATTTATCGCTTCGTTAACGGCCGCGGCTGCTAACCGAATTTAGAGACAGACCCAACGGCAGAGGCCTCTTTAACCAGCGCTGAATCAGTCTATTAAGAAAGAATTGAATTCTTTAGCGGTTACTTCATGAATTTTCAGATGCGCGAACGTTTTCGATCGAGTTTTAACGAGACACCGAACGTCACCGACGATTGGAAACGGTACAGGGCGATTCAAAAGAAACAGAAGCTTTTGCAAACCGAGATGTTACGAAGACATTTCCCCGAAATTATTTATTCTAAAGAATTAAATATCAATCGTTTACCCTGGGAAATTATGAAAAATTCATCTTTTTAGTGGGAGACTTTACGTGCACTTTAATTACGAAACTTTAACGGATCTTTATGCAAAATAAAAATTGTTTTTATTTATTGTTCGATGCAGGAGTTAAATAAGCATATGTTTCCTTTCTTAATAATCGTAATAAGTCGATGGTAATACGATAACATTCTCAAATTGTTTAACTGTTTTCACTGTTTCCAATTTGATTCACACTCATTTTTGTTACAAATTCATAAAATCCGCAGTTTATTAATTACATAGGATGTTGGTTTCATGATTTTAAGCTCTCTACATTTCTCAAACTACAGATTTTAGCATTGTTGCAAACTTGTGATAATTTTCTTTATATTTCTTTTTTCGTTTAATTAACAAGTGTATCACAAAAAAAATAGACAATTTTCCATTAAACTTGGAAGAAAAAATACTCGACAGTCTGTTGGTTGCGAGGCTGCGAAACGAAGTTTGCTAGAACTATTTATCTGTTACACTGGCCTCGAAACAATAATGCAATAATGAATTTTTACACAAATGTTTAAGAGCGCTTCGTAACTGGCATATGTATGTAATACGATCTTTATATCACTATATTCTTTTAAAGCCTAACTTCGATATTAACAACTGTTTACTTGCTTTTATCAGTGCATAAACTGATCCAATTAGCTTTCAAACAAGGTTCACCATTTCAGGCAACAGCTCAATAGATTCTTCTAAACCAATAATCTCTCAACAAGACTTGTACATATCGTTATTAATACTAGATTTACGGCACACAAAAAATAACTGTTCTATATTAGTTTAGAAAAGTAACGATAAGATATTTATTCTGATTTTTAACAAGTGTTATTGTAATATTTGCCGTAAGTAATACATAAATTGAATAAATAACTCATAAATGTATCTTTCCCGTCATTTTGACGGGTTCCGGGTAAATCTAGTGTTAAGAATAGAACTACCGAACCAGTCGAAACGATTAGTCCCTGATTTTTTCTTTTACAAATAATAATAATAATATTGCAAATAATATAAAATATAAAAGTAAGATTAATTATTATTTATTATATAATTATATAATTATTATTATTTATTATATAATTATATAATTATTATTAATATTATATATATAATATATAATATATTGTATAATTATTATTAATAAAATATAAAATATAAAAATATAAAAATAATATCGCAAAAATATTTCTACGAGAGAAATCTGTCGATAATCTTTCTACTAAAACAATTATAACAGAAATTATAGAAAATTTAAGTAAATCAAAGATTTTCATTATCACGAAACAATATACAGTAAATTCTCCATAATTAACGCTCAGAACTTGTACACGAAAATGGACAATATTGAAAGAAAAGACACGATTATTCGAGCCTTTTTATGGTTACCGATTGTCGGCGACTATAAAAACGAGCCGCGAAGCTCGAATAATCGTACCTCCTCTTCCTAAATTGTCCATTTTTGTTTCCAAGCTGAGCGTCAACTAGAGAAAATTTACATTAGTCGGGTCTAACGGTCGGTAATCCAAGATTTCATCAACAGAACCAGACAAGCACGCCGCAACGATTCGAGTAAAATCGTTCCTTTTGAATCACCCTATACAATCGTATCTTGCTCACGGACACCGTGAAACGTTTGCGCAATCTGTTTCACGAAGCAGCATTCGCCGAGCTCCGCGCGATCCACCGTGATCAAGACATCCAGCGGCGAGTTCCACGAAACTCTCGAGAAACGTAAAAATTGCAAAGAAATTTAATACGAGCCACGACGGGCGAAATAATGATCGAGTTCAACAACAGGTTACCAATTCCCTCCGATTAATCCTCGGAGAGGCTAGGCGGCGGTGGATACCTGTTGTTCGCTCGGAAACATTTGAACCGTTGCCAACGGAACGTTTTCACCGCTAACGACGAGCCGTCTCGCCCCCGAGCCGGACCTCGGAGATAAGGACCTCACCTTTCCGTCCCTGTGCTTCAGCTCCTCGTGCTTCTCGGGGACGACCTGCACGATGAACAGGTCCTTCGCGGTGTCGCCATGCTTCCCGATGGCCTTCACGCTCAGATGATGACTGCCCAGGTCCTTTTTCGACGGCACGCCCACCAGCGTCGACGCCGCGTCGTCCCAGAACATCCATTTCGGCAACTGACTACCGTTCGCGTCGAATACCTGTTTCAAAAGATAGATCTCAGTTCGTGCTGCGAACACAGGATTTTCTTGTTCGGTGTTTGAAATTTGTGTAAATCTCGCTCCTGAAAACGAGAAACGTTCTATCCCGACCTCTTTGCTTATATCAGGTTCGTGCATATGAAATGTCGGATTTTATTTACACGTGAACGTTTGTTTCCCTTGTTTTCGTTATGCTTTTGTTTCTGGCATAACATCGTTTATATTCGTACTGTCCTTTGCCAGAGTCACATTTCAACAAAGAAGATTTTCTCAAAAGTGTTCCATTTTGTTATTTGTTTGGAATTTCGTAAGGATACGAATTCAACCGATATTCGTGTGTAATTTTCTTATACGAGTATAAACTTGGTAATAATGCTGCAATGTTTGAGGAGGATACTGTTAACGATCGAAAAGTGTAGCGTTGGTTTGAAAATGTTCAGTCTGGTGATTTTTCCGTACAAAATGAACCGCGTGGAAGACCCAAAACGTCTGTGAAAAACGATGCTCTGAAAGCATTGGTGGAAATGAATGTGACCGGAGTAATTCACTACTCATTCCTTCGAATCGGGGGACAATTACAGCCAAGAAGTACTGCGAGTACATTGATGAAATGCATGAAAAATTGAAAATTAGATACCCATCACTTGTTAATCGGCATGGCCCTATACTTCTCCAGAACAACGCTCGGCCGTATACGTCGTACAAAACAATTGCGAAATGAAACGAATTAAAATACGAAATTTTGCAGCACCCAACTTATTCGTCGGATCTTCCGCCAACCGACTTTCACTTTTTTAAACATTTGGAACAGTTTTTACGGGCTAAACAGTATGAAAATGAGGACAGTCTGAAAAATTCCATGTCAGAGTTTATTGATTCTAAAGATCAGAATTTCTTTAAGACAGGCATCTATGCATTAAAATCTCGTTGGGAAAAGTGTATTGAAGCAAATGGTGCATATTTTGATGAAATAAACAGCTTTTGAAAAAACATATGCAGTTTTATATATTCGCTTAAAAATCCGACATTTCATACGCATCAACCTAATACTATTATTAGTATGAGCTCCTATCGAGAATACGCATAAAAGCGTGGAACAAAATGGTCGGACCATTCGCGGAAAAGATCAGCTGAAATATTATCGGTTTAATATATTTTTCAATGGTTTTGAAACGTTTCAATTCGTAACATTTTCGAGTAAATGACTTGAATGTTTTTTTAAGTGTTGAAGAGACTGGCTTATTGTACAATGATTGAGATACTTTTATTTAATTTTGCTAGTAAAAATTGAAAAAAGTTGTGCGAGATGTCTAAAGATTTTGAGATCTTTCAACATTTGTTACATACATGCATATGTTACATACATATAAGTTACAGAGGTATACAAAATGAATTTTCGAAATTTTTGTTATCAGGTGAAAAAGTTGGACAATCTCGCGCTATATAGTCTTTTTGTAATTCGAAATAATAGCAAAATTAAAAAAGTATTTTAATCACTGTATAGTGAACTGGTCCCTCTAACATTTAGTCCGGTTAAAAAAAAGAAGGTAATAGTGTTTCAAAGGGTGTCCCAATACTTTTTTTACCCACAAGTCTTTCGTCGTTTGTCTTTAGAGTTTCGTCACCCAAAAAATTGATGTTTCGCATAAAGATTCGCGGTCTAGCGATGAACGTTGCTGTAAGAATCATTCGATTGCCGAAACCTGCATCGGAAAGGGGAACCGAACAACAAGTAGTTCGATGCACCCCAATTTGTCGGACTGCGAGGTGGAGAGGGGGGGGGGGCGGTAAGGGGCGCGTCAATTCCTGGGTTCCGTCTCAGGCGAATTCTGGCCTGCCGCCAAATTTCATAGGTTGATCCTTGCCGCGCGGGACGTACGTATTCCCCTGTCTTTCATTTGCCTCCTTTTGTCGGCGGTGCCAACATTGTCGGGAATCTATATTCGTGATTCAATTTGCCTTGGCCGCCTCCGCGGTATAACAGGAAATCCGCTTCGCTTTTACACGTCCCGCTCCGCGTTTTATCAGGGAACTTGCTGCCGTGCTTCGGGGAGCAATTGGAGAACCTAGCTCCCCTATATTTCAGGCAGGCTTTTGCATACGGCGAAAGGGATCTCTCACGAATGGCGGAACTGTTCGCAGCTCGCTATTGACTTTATTTATCCCATTTATTCTCTGTTTAAGATTTCTCCTGCATGTAACAACAAGCTTTCGACAGTTCTTAGTCCGCGAACCTTTTCCGAGGTTGTACGACATATTTTTTCAGCGTTATTAAAATTAATGTTGCTTGCACGTTTACGTAGATTTTATGGAGCAACAATTTTTAAATCTTGGAAGTACCATAATTGCCAGTTTTGTCGTGTCAGTTGAGACGAGACGAGTGTACAAACTAATAGTTTATGGTATTAATTATCTTATGTTTTATTGGTAATCTGCGCGGATGTTTACGCAAATGCATATTTTTGAGAAAATAGGTAAACCAATGGGAGACGAAAAATATGTTTTTTATTTTCTACATTTTGCATGTTGCATGTTTTGCATATTTATGCTTAAAAACATATGCATTTTGCATGTTCATGTTTAAAAACACATGCATTTTGCATAGTTATGCTTAAAAGCATATGCAATTTGTATATTTATCGTGCAGAAACATTCGCAATTTATTAGTATTTTATGTTCTCCTATCCTAATTGCAATCGATTGCAGTCAATTCGTTGATCATTGAAGGTCACAAAGACCAGAATAATTTGAGTTATTTTAAAGTATTTTAGAAATATTTTAAACGCAATTCCATTCATTGCTCACTTTTTCTCACATTTGCATTATAAATTCTTTAGAATTCGTAATCTCCGCAGAAAGGAAAGCACATCGTACCGAAGCAATGCTTTCCGAAAGAAACATTTTATCGTCGATCATACACGACTCTCAAACTTCAACGGCAAGACAGAATTTCAAATAGTTCTTCTGCAACTTTTACATGCAGATTGCGCAGAACTGCAAGTGTCTAAACGTAGTACAAAGTAAATATATAGCAACAGCGTGAGCTGCACAGATTCCCTTTCCAGATAAGATAGTTGCGGGAGTTTTTCGAGATAAGAAGAATAATTCTTGGACTTGCTATTACTTATTTACGTTTCGTAACAGAAACGAACCGTGCTAAGCATCGAAACTTTTAAGAAAGTAGCAAATTTTCTCTCGGTTTAACGTTAGCTGCACCACGTTCTGTAAATACAAACTATTATTACCGATCTAATCTAACATCATTCTTATTACTTAATAAAAAAAACATTAAAACAGGCAATTTGCGAAAATGAGTGGTATATCAATTCTACTTATAGATGAAACTGGGGCTGGTTGAATAATTCTTATAGAATAGATGGTGTTTGTACACGCGACAAATAAATTGTACATACATATATGAATGATTATCGTCATAATAGAAACTCGCGTGTTGCAGGAATCAAAAATTTAAAACATCGGCCTTGTGCAAGTAAGTGCTTCGGTTTCGATTATTTTTGCATTTTTGATATTTTATATTGTGCTTTATATTGTTTTCTTATTTTATATTATATTATTATTATATTATTATATTATATTATTATTATATTATTATATTATATTATTATTATATTATTATATTATATTATATTTTACATTATATGTTAATATATTATTTTTGAGGAAATTAGGATACACAGATTATAGCTTTGTTATTGTTTTATTTGATATGTAGACGTTTTGTACGTGCAGTCTTTAACGTGCCAAAAATTACTGACACGATTAATTGATCGACCATGTAAAAGTGTAAATCAACTCAAAAATGAAGCTTTCGAAATTAACGAAAAGGCAAAATTATTGAGGCATGAGCAAATGAGACGATTTCCAAAGAAGTGTACGTTTCTGCGTCATGGTGCATGAAAAATGACGCAACAATGACATTTAAAATTGACTTTTATTTGCAACAGTTATCTAGACTCGAGACTGGCAATTTTCAGATGGTGATTTCATCGTTGAAGTTAAGACGTACATGATTCTAAAAATTCGTTCCTTTTCGTCTAATTGTCATGCAGCCTATAAAGTTACATCAAAATCAGATACGACACGAGAAGACTGTGAATCCAGTTCTAAGAACTAGCTGAAATAGCCCATGAACCAATAAGCAAGGAATGTACACGCCCAGCATGCATCTACCATGTGAAAATACGTAATTTGAACTTTCGATGAAAAGGATACAGCCACGGAGTCGACATTGCTGCTACTCAACTCACAGATTCTAAAGGGTGTTCCATAATTATGTTAACATCTGAAAGAAGGTGATTCCAGAGGTAATTTGAAGCAACTTTTTCCTTAACGAAAATGCAATCGGCGGCTTTGTTCACGAGTTATTAACGAAAAACACTGACCAATCGGAGAGCGAGTGCAGCCGACGCACCGCCCTTGCTGCCAATGCCGTGTCGCGCCGGCCGTCTAACGCAGCGGCAGTGGTCGCGAAGGCGGAGCGTCAGCTGTACGCGATCTCTCATTGGTCAGTGTTTTCCGTTAATAACTCGAAAACAAAGCCGCGGATTGCATTTTCACTAAGGAAAAAGTTGCTTCAAATAACCTCAGGAATCGCCCCTTTCTGACTGTTAGCATAATTACGCAACACCCTGTAGAACTTCTAGTGGCCAGTTTGAATTACCATTTTCTATTCGGTTCAATAAGAGAACCGTCGTCGATCTGGAGCAAAATAATCTAGGCTGCCTCGAATTCGTCGAAGGCATGCGTGTTTCTGCGAACATATGGCATCGATCAAGTTTCGGCAAACGTTCATCAGTATAAAACACGGTCCGCGGAACCTCGTCGGCGGTTATTAATTCGCGAGCCGCGTTTTTTGCAGCCTCGACGGTAACCAAAACCGGCGAGAGTCTGCATGCGAGTACATCAGACAGAGTTGTCTGATCGTCTGAACCATAAATATCTAAGAAGACCTGCTGACAGCGACAACGTCTAGGACGAAA